GCTTCAGCGAACTTACGTATCTGATGGACCAAATGCTACCTGGCATGTAGATGGATACGATAAGCTGAAGCCCTACGGTTTACCAATTAACGGTTGTGTTGACGGGTTTTCTTGACGAATAATATGGCTAAAAGTTTGCAAAAGCAATAACAATCCAGTTATTCCAGCTACTTTTTTTACGGTCAGTGGAGGAATACGGTCAGTAGAAGATACATATGTGATTAAAAACTCAAGATAAAACCTTGTTAATCAACAGTATCTCGCCCATAATTGTCTTTGAGAAACTAAGCCGCCATTTTTAACTGTGTTTTGAAATTAAGAGCTTTACACAACGGCCCCAGGTAATTAAACACAGCAAAAATTAGACTTGCTCAATGCCAAGTGAAAAATAGAATCTTTTACGCTTTTAAGATGGACGTGTTGCAGTGAAAATAATCTAATTCTTAATTGATTATTAAAAAGTTTTATAATCAATTTCACCAAGTATTCAGCAACATTTTTTTATAGGTGTTAATCAGTTTAAGGAATGCCCAATTTATCGCATCAAAACTGGGCAATCGCAATTGGCATTTTAGAGTTTGCTGAGTTTCATTCATTTAGCAGTTATTATAAATTCATCAATAGGGGAATTTTCTTTTTGTGTGGTGTACAGATTTTTCTCAATTTAAATCTGTAAATGAAATTGATTTGTGTGCACTATAAATTAATAAATACGATCATTCAGACCATATCTAGCAAGGTCAAGGAGGGGTCACCAATTATTGATTAACGGAGCGCTCACAGTGAATGTGTGACGCCACAGTTGCTTTTACTATAGCAAATTTTAGGAATATTTTTAAAACGTAATCAATTTTATTGTACAATTATCTGAAGTTGTTTAATTTCATTTTGTATTACCACAAGAGAGACAACATACTCGTATTTGTCATTTTAAGCGATAACATTTAGTTGAATGTGATGTTGAAAATATGATATGGTGTTGGATTGCCTTGGTTGATTGTGGTGTCCAATTTAACACACGTCTTTGCTTTCATTCTCTGTTAAACTGTTTGGCATAGCAATCTTAGTGAATAGATTGGCAATCTGTTCATATGACACTTAACTTCCAGTGCGCTAAATATCAAAACCAGAAAGTTTCAACCGTCGACCAGTAAAAGGTTTGTAAAAAAAAGACAAAGAATTATCATGCGTGTTTACGATACATAAATGTGACGTTTTTAAATTGCTCGCCAAGAGTTAAGTCATTTTACATTTTGAATACAATTTTAGTCTCATTCATTACCTATTGCCCTCAAAGAATCGTTCTCTCTAATGTCTATTTAAAAAAGAGTCGCTGCTCACTTTCCCAAATAATGTCGTAATATTTAAATTTAAATACTTAGCTACGTTTGTAGTCTATAGAATGTAATTTAATGTTTTAGGAACTGTACTTTGTTATTTAGTATTATCGTAACTGAGTAAAAGCACAATTGATATTGCGCATTTAAGAAAAACGACAAATTTTTTTAAAATAGACATGTTTCGACATCACATGATGCCGTTCGGACGCTCCCATTAATTCATCTTATTTCCTTGTTATTGTTGTAATTTATGTATCATATTACTTTTATATTAACCTTGTATTATTTATTATTTCACTTATACTGAAGATGGCATCATGAGATGTCGAAACATGTCTTTGTCGTTTGAGTAAAAGCACTATTGATATTGCGCATTTAAGAAAAACGATAAATTTTTTTAAAATAGACATGTTTCGACATCACATGATGCCGTTCGGACTCTCCCCATTAATTTATTTTATTTCCTTATTATTGTTGTAATTTATGTATCATATTACTTTTATATAAACCTGGTATCACTTATTATTTCACTTATACTGAAGATGGCATCATGAGATGTCGAAACATGTCTTTGTCATGAGATGTCGAAAAAATTTGTCGTTTTTATTAAATGCGTAATTTAGTTTTCTTGTTAAATTTGTTTCTGTAAAATTTGCGCCCGCTCATGTGGAAAACAACTCGCCTGTTTACAATGGTTCGCGTGTTGAAATAAATTATTCATTCATTAATTGATTCTACTGTAATGTCTTAAAATACCCTTCAAAATAATAACTAAAGCTTCCCACAATTAACCTCTTGGCTCCAGAAACCCTGCCAAAATACCATAAATTATATATTATAGATAACCTTTAGAAATTGTAATTCTGTAATTATAGACCAATCAAACAAAGTTACCAATCAAAACAACAACAATTTGCTTACCAAAGACAAATCACTGTCGTTTCAAACAAGGTATGTTTATCTTTGTTAAATATGTGTGTTATTTCTATAACTTTGTCATGATATTAAATAACATTTATGAATCACTAGTTGTTTAAGAAATATGGAAATTTTTATCATTAAATTGCTTTATATCTGCAATAAACTAGTATCACTTCTTATATTTAAGTTCCAGTTTTTTAAACAGCTAAAGAATTTCGCAAATATTTGTTGCAACATTGCAAATATGTTTTGTTTCTTTTGGTTTAGATGTACAAAAAAATATGTATTTAAAATTCAAATTACTTTTTAAACAACTCTATCAGTAAAAGTTTAGTTTCAAAACATTTTTAAAAAATTTTTAACCCACAAAATTATTGCTATTGTATTTTCTATCTATAATTAGGTGCTATATAATGTCTTCTGAGTTAGCCTAGATTTGCCTCTATCTTGTGAAAAAAATTTGTAAAATGTTTTTGTTGTGGATGTAACATGTTTTCTTACTTAATTTAGGTCCATAGAAACCATGTTTTATGCTACAAACCCTTTGTCTGACATCATTGAGAAATGGCAAACTTGTGATTCAAATATGGACAACTTCATGTAAAGTTTAAGGTACCATTCACTTGCCTTTCATATCTGTGCATGCGAAGAAAAAAAGAAATTTTGTCTGGCAAAGGAAACATTTTTGATCATTTTATTTTGATACATTTACTCAAATGTACATCTCATCACAATCATTACTAACTCATTACCTTTTCCCCTTGACCCAAATATGTACACTAGAGCCGATATGAAGGATTTTAATATAGAATATTGTGAAGTTAACAACATGAAAAGCACAGTGGAATAGAGCATGTATATGTGACATGATTCATGTCATGTGTTCATAGTTAAATGTTACAGCTGGTTAATACATGCTTCATTACACGTGCTTCAATAGTTTTTCTATCTACACATGCTTCAGTAGTTTTTCTATCTACACATGCTTCAGTAGTTTTTCTATCTACACATGCTTCAGTAGTTTTTCTATCTACACATGCTTCAGTAGTTTTTCTATCTACACATGTTTTAGTAGTTTTTCTATCTACACATGCTTCAGTAGTTTTTCTCTCTACACATCCTTCAGTAGTTTTTCTATCTACACATGCTTCAGTAGTTTTTCTATCTACACATGCTTCAGTAGTTTTTTTATCTACACATGCTTCAGTAGTTTTTCTATCTACACATGCTTCAGCACATCATCCTTTACACTGACCATTCTTTCCATCATATATATCTTTAGAAAGTTAGAAATGTTGTCCATTCCTTAGTTTGGAAACCTCTGATTCCATAGTTCTAAATTTGGACTTTCTTTTGCAGCCTACACCTTGTCTGTTTGAGTGACCTTGACTATATATTGTTTTCAATACACCTCACCAACTCGCAACAATTTAGAAATCTTAGATAATCTTGTCAGTATTCACTTTTTTTAAACTGAACAGTTGCTCCAAATTTACTCCTAGCTTGAACAGACGGCAAATTTCTCTTCAGTTCGGGAAAAAAGAGCACGATTTTCATTTCTATACGTAGATGTAACTAATTTAACCCAGTGGTCAAACAATAAGTTTTTTCCCCATATATGACACGTTCATCTTCAAGATTTACTTTCGTTAGCTTTCTCAAATCTTCATAGTCCGATAAATAGTCATGTTTAAGCATAATATGCTAAATTGCACCAGAATCAATTATGCAATCAAATCTATTCTCTTTACATTTGTCATAAACGCCACCTAATTATTTTTTTGCACAATGTGCTGACTTTTTTCCTTTGTAGTGGAAATAAAAGATTAAATTGTTCTTTCTTTGTACACAATATCGTGCAAAATGTCTTCACGAGTGGCATATTCATTTATAAGAATGATGGTCTTCATTTTTGTTTTTGCTGTAGTCCTTTTTTTTTCCTTTCACCCTAAATAATCATTGAGCAGCGTGAGTTATTTCATCTTTTTTGGTATTTAGTATTAAATCTGCATCATTCAGTAAAATTCCTTGAACGTCTTTATAAGATTTTTCTCCAATCTTATCTAAAGCTATAATCAGCGGCTTGTAGTCTTCCGACAAACCTGCAAGCAAGCTCTTTGCTAATTTTTGATAATTATTTTTACAATTTCTGATCTTTTTGATTCCCAAACAAAAGTACGTCCAACCTTTCTTTGAAGCAGGTCTAAATACTTGCTTCACCCGATGAGACGCGTCTTCTGGTAGGATTTCATCTGATCCATCGGCATGATCAAAAAAATGTGCGTCCATCCTTTCTTCAAAGCAATTCTAAATTCTCGCTTCACCTGATGAGACGCGTCTTCTCGTACGATTTCAACAGGTCCATTTGCATGATCATAAATATTTTCGTCCTTCCTTTCTTTGAAGCAATTCTAAACGCTCGCTTCACATGATGAGATGCGTCTTCTGGTAGGATTTCATCTGATCCATTCACATAATCAAACAAATTAATACTTTTTAGAAACAAACGCATATTAAGTGCCCAATTTCTATTACTTTTTCTTTTTAACTTCGGTATTTAACACGAAAGATCCATCAACAAGGCCATACTTAATCTATAGATAATATAACGACTTATTTTAAAAACTATACTCTTGAATATACATATAATAACGCGCTCCAGACACGCATTCAAGTCTTCTAGTCCGTGACCTGTTAAAATAATAAGACGGATCTTTCATGTGTGACGTCATTTAATTCACGTGCAAAGGTTTATCTCATTAAATAAAAAGAAACGGGCAATCCCTGATTTCCTATCAATCTAACCTAGAATAACTTCGTCAATATAGACAATCTAAATGAAATATTCAGCACATCACGTGATACATTATTGAAAACATGTTCTGCATCACCACGTTCTTACTCAAGTAGTCTGGAATGCAAGGAATCGCTAAAAACAGAATAAAATTTACCAAATGGTTTTGAAAACTTTCTATAGTTGTATTGATTTGAGCAAGACTTAGATTCATTATGCCCTTTAAATGCCCGCTCTTTTTTAGACAAGACAACATCAATATTACTTTCTTCTCTCTTCTGGCTTTCATTCTCATTATGTCGCTTCATGGCCACTCTTATTGTTCTTAGAAAATAATTTCTACACACTTGTTTTAATATATACCCATCGTTTTCAACGTATTGCACGTTTGAAAAAAGCAATTTATGTTTTTATGTTCCTGGAAACTGTCCAACCAATAATGCATATATTTACATAACCAAGTTTGTCTAAGTTTTGATTTAGATAAAACTGAAAGTAGGGTCAGTAAAAAACTGCTGTCCGTTGACATTAGCACACAACCAATCTTTCCTCTCTTACCAAGACGGCTAGAAGCTCCTGTATCTTGTTTTTTTTTCTGTGTAGCATATCATAAGGATAGCTTACAGCTTACTATCATAGTTTTTCTGAGCTTATTTACATTTCATATTAAAGATCCACCGACCGAAACGCATTGTTTTATTAATGCAAAGTAAAAACTTTCGTTTCACGTACAATTTATTAATTATATAGTTAATCGTTTAACTTAACTTATGCTTGATTATTTATCTTAAATTGACAAGTTTTAGTAAACAATTCATTGTTTCTTAAAATTAAAAAAGAATTTTTGCCATTACAAGTCAATCTTCATAGCTAATGGAAAACACAATTTTTCGATCAAGACATTGTGTCATTTGTTACAAATTATTGCAAAACAAGTTTATATCAAATGTCATATGTTGTGTATTGAATTTTTGGAATTTCTTGATTTTAGTCATGTTGATATATCATGTTGAATTTTTGTACAAATGGAATCAAGAGGAACAAGAAATCTGTCTTACATTCAGAAAATAATTAATGTGGTACAAACGGAACTTGCTCAATTTTTCATCAAAGAATGGAACTCTCGTTACAAATCAATACATGGAGAATGGGATGATACACACAACAGTGGTAACAAATTTTACAAATTAGAATCGCGACGAAAATTAGACCAAAAAACACGACAAAAATATCAGGATGGAGACACCAGTAAGTGGGACTGTACGATATTATTTGATGCTATAATTTTTTCAAATTCAATTGGAAAGCATCTTAACAAAAAAACAAAGGATGCTGTTCATGCACTTCGTTGTGAAAGAAACAAATACGCACATTGGTATGAAAGAGAATGCTCAGATGATGGTTTTGATGATATAGTCAATATCATTGAAAAATCATTTCAAGATTTGAAATTTTCTCTCGATGAAATCATTAAAATAAAAAATCATCTAAACTGTTTTAATTCATTCCAAGTTCTTCCTTCAAAACCTAATCATTTTTTTGTTGAACGCACTGAATTACGAGATAAAATTATAACAGATCTTAAAAAATTAAGGAAAGATAACAATGATAAACTGACACATTTTTACATCACTGGTAATCCTGGCAGTGGTAAATCACAACTTGCAAGACAGGTTTGTGAAAAAATATCGTGTGAGTGGAAAAATATAACTTCGTTTGTAATGACTCTCGATGGAAAAAATGAGGAATCTCTTTTAAATACTTACTCCGAACTTGGATACGGTTTAAGTTGTGACAAGTATATGATTAAGAAATTTGAAAATGAAAACTGTTCCATCACAGACAAAGTGAAGAAATTGCGATCGTTGGTATCCACACGATTAAAATTCTGGCAAAATTGGTTGATCATTGTAGACAACGTGGTACAGCTCAGCAAAATTTCTTCGTTACTTCCCCAAGTAGGTGATCCCATGTGGATAAATGGACAAATCATAGTAACCATCCAGAACACAGATGCCGTACCTCAAGATGATGAGTTTAACAAACATATTTCTATCAGAAGTGGATTGAATGATAGAGAATGTTTTCAACTGTTGAAGCATTACACAATTGAACATGCTGATGATCAATTGTTGAATGAAGTATCGCACGCATTAGATCGTCAACCGCTGGCTTTGGCTGCTGCTGGTTATTATGTCAGTCGTGTAAACAAAGCAAACTGCTCATTTACTTGGAGTCAATATTTGAAGAAAATATCTTCTGAAGAAGAAGAAAACATGGACGTCACTTTTGTTAAATTTAACTCGGCATATCCTAGAAGTATGTTACAAGCTTCACTTTTAGCTGTCCGACAAAATGCTGAAGAATCGTCATTATTGGCAAATGTTATTAACTTTTTTTCCGTGATATCGTTTGATACTATACCACGAGATATTATTGTTTTTTATGTTCAAGAAATTGATCCCAAACACTCAAAGGAAGATATATGTCTTTTTTTAAAGGACTGCTCACTGTTCTTGCATTCAGAAAATAATGACATTAGTCTACATCGCATTGTTCACAAAGCAACCATTGTTTATCAATCTGAACAGTTGAATGAAGAACATAAAATGAAGCAAGGCTGCAATTTGACTTCTTATCAACATACCGTTGATCAAATATGTAAAGCACTTTACATGTTTAATGAGAGAGACGACGAAATCAAATTGATGCCACATCTTGAAAAAATTCTTCAATTATTAAAGACCAACAAGATAAAAATCAACATGAACACTTTACAAGTTTTCCAATATTTTGTTGAGAGATTAAGACATTTTGGAAAATACTATCTTGCTCTTGAACTCTTAGATAAATTTAAGTCAGAAGAATCAAGTTATGACAAAGCTTGGTATTTTAGTATCCTAGGCCTTTTATACTATGACACCGGGAAGTATAGCAAAGCTAAAAATCATCATGAAAAGGCTCTGGAAATTCGAAAACGATTGTTAGGTCCAAATCATTTTTATAACGCTACGTCTTTAAATAATCTTGGTAATGTGTATTATAAAACTGGAAACTACGACGAAGCTATAGAGTTTCACGAAAAAGCTCTGGAAATTAAAAAACAATCGTTAGGTCCTAATCATGTTGATGTCGCTACGTCTTTAAACAATCTTGGTAATGTCTTTTATAAAACTGGAAATTACGACAAAGCTATAGAGTTTTGCGAAAAAGCTCTAAAAATTCAAAAACAATCCTTAGGTCCAAATCATGTTGATGTCGCTATGTCTTTAAACAATCTTGGTAATGTGTATAATGATACTGGAAGCTACGACAAAGCTACGGAGTTTTACGAAAAAGCACTGGAAATTCGAAAACAATCGTTAGGTCCAAATCATGTTGATGTCGCTGCGTCTTTCAACAATCTTGGTTTGGTGTTTTCTAAAATTGGAAACTACGACAAAGCTATAGAGTTTTGCGAAAAAGCTCTAAAAATTCAAAGACAATTGTTAGGTTCAAATCATGTTGATGTCGCTACGTCTATAAACAATCTTGGTAATGTGTATAATGATACTGGAAGCTACGACAAAGCTACGGAGTTTTACGAAAAAGCACTGGAAATTCGAAAACAATCGTTAGGTCCAAATCATGTTGATGTCGCTGCGTCTTTACACAATCTTGGTATGGTGTTAAATAAAACTGGAAACTACGACAAAGCTATAGAGTTTTACGAAAAAGCTCTGGAAATTCAAAAACAATCGTTATGTCCAAATCATGTTGATGTCAATACGTCTTTAAGCAATCTTAGTAATGTGCTTAAAAGAACTGGAAACTACGACAAAGCTATAGAATTCCACGAAAAAGCTAAGAAAATTCGCAAAAAAAACGCTAGGAACTAGTCAGGTTGATGTTGCTAAGTCTTTTAAACAATCTAGGTGTGTTGTATTATGAAACTCGGGAATATTACCAAGCTTTACAGTTACACTTTAGTACCTACGTGTTTCAAAGAAAATTGTGCCTTCCAAAATGTATTAAGCTTATTTTTAACACATAAACTGTGGGAGCAAGGCTTCCACATGCCAAGTCAACTCTCCTCTCCCTCAGAAGGTATTTTTGGTACTGAACAAAACGTTTGCAGTTTGCATTTTTTGAGGTAAAATGAGCCTTAAGATGCAATGGTCCTTGTCTATATATAGTTTCACGGATATCTAGTTAATAAACTTACTCTACAGCCCAGGAATCATCCAAAGTAGAACTTAGAACTGCACATGCCCTGAGTCTGACATTCTCCTTTAGACTTTATTTCTAAAGAAAATTGTTTTTATGTTATAACCAAGTAGTAATTTTTATTGTATGATTCACAATCATACTAAAGTATATTCGGATGACAGTATTTTCTGACATAAATTTTGTTAAATAAATACTATCCTGTTAGTTTTTCATATTCTTTGATACATTCAGTAATTTTTTACCTAGCTCCATAAGCCTATGACCATATTCTAAGTTCTTATAATTTCCAAGGGGTACACCTTTCATACCATACATACCACCCCACCATGCTGCAGCCAATATTCCTGTACTGTCACTATCTCCACCATGAAACATAGAACAAGAACGCAATTGAAACCAGGAATCTTTTGCCATCATCAAAGCATCGTAAGCAATCATTGGCGCATCATGACCACTGCATCCACCCGAACCTGCATAACTTACAGATTTATAAAAAACATCACGTTTAGGTATAATTCATTGGAATCTTTGGTTTATTGGTTCTATTTGTTAATCCTCGTAGTTTAAGATATGACTCCCAACTGTCTTTAAAGTAATTCCAGATATTGTTTTTTTCTACATCCCTACCAACCTTCTCAATGTATTTCCAAACTTTTGGTACAAAGACTCAAAAGTCCTGCTTCCCAATTTTTCGCAAGTATTGTTTGTAAAGCGTAGGCTGTAGTAACAGCCCCTAGGTAACTTAAAGATAAAATCATCATCTTCAAAAGTTGTTCATTTCAGATCTCTCACATTATGATGAGCCATTTACATAATAGCAACATGACAAAGATTATAATTGCTGTAGTGCAAAGATAAAATAAAAAACAAAAATGGCAAAAACAACTTTCACCATACGACAGACGGAAAGAACTTGTGGAAAAGTGAAAAAAAAAATGGATCAAAGACATGGTCATTAAAAACAAAACATATTAGAAGGATGAAGACATTTCAGATCGAGATGTGGGTCTGGGTTTAGATATATGAGCAAGCAAAAAACCCTCAATAAGTACGTTCGTTACTGTTTTATACAATACACTCTGTTTTGCTCACATACGTCATACAACTGACTCGCTTCTCTCACTATCTCAACTATCACTCCACTCTCTCTCCACTCGCTTCTCTCACTCTCTTTCAACTATCACTCCACTCTCTCTCCACTCGCTTCTCTCACTCTCTCTCAACTATCACTCCACTCTCTCTCCACTTGCTTCTCTCACTCTCTCTCAATTATCACTCCACTCTCTTTCCACTCTCTCCACTCTCTCTCAACTATCACTCCACTCTCTCTCTCCACTCACTTCTCTCACTCTCTCTTAACTATCACTCCCTAATCTTGACGTCATTACTGATCTTTCGTGCATGCTACTAACGAATAATAAATGATGTCCTTATCAGTTTCTGACATTCTGCGACGCTCAGATTTTTCAGGTTAAATTGACCAATGTTTTTCTTTTTGCTGATTTTGTTAATAATAATTTACGAAGAAATAGAAAACTTGAAATATATATACATGGCTTACTAGTAAAAAAATGAACAGTTAGGAAATGTTGCTAAATTCGTCAGCACAAGGATGGCAATAACTATTGATGAAAACAGGTAGTTAGACTTCCAATGGTTTGTCAAACAGTAAAATTAACTCAAGTAATAAACTGGTTTAGGATGAGAATTACGCGAAAGAGTCTCAATCCGACGCATTTCAAGCTCTTTGGGTTAAAATTAGGCCAATCGACTAATTATAAACTAATTACTTAATTCAGTTACTGCAATGGAAATTTTTGTAATCTGGGTGTGGAATCGTTTGACTTGTAATTTTAGTGACGTTTTACAGATCAACTCAGATTGCCAGAAACAATTTGTAAATGCACCTAAAAGCTACAACAAAACTTTGCAGTTGATATTAACAAATTTTTATAATTTCTACAAGACTACAACAAGGATTCTTTATCAGCTTCCTCTCCATTTGATTTATCAGATTACATAGTACGTATAATTACATTATACCAAGCGTTAGATCTACTTTTACCAACACATAAGCCAACAAACGCCTATTTTCTCCTATTCAACTGAAACGCGCAAAAATTCCACAATCTTATTCAAGTATATACAGAAGCGTACATAATT